GAAACCTGCTTAACTTCTTCCTCAGAAGAAACATGTTCAACCTGAAGCTCGGAAACCTGGAGCTGGCACATTCTCAGTGGATCGGGAGGAGCCAAAAGGTTCTCCGAAGATTTCACCTGCGAAGCAATCTTTCTCGCCAAAGAGCAAAAACGGCGCTTTCCCGAGTAACAAGTGGATTCGTGACCCAAACGCCTACTGCGAGATCCACAAAGTCAATGGGCATGCTACGAAAGATTGCAAGGCTCTAGGAAGGTTACTAGCTGCCAAGTTCGCATCCGGGGAAATAACCGAAATCGACATTTCGGAGCTCGAACCAACTCATCCGTCGGAGCAGTCAGTAGCAACAGAGGAACCATCTCCTCCTAGCAAAAAAACCAAAAGGATCCAGTCCCCTGATGTTTTTAAAGGACCGAAGAAGCAAATCCAGGTGATTATGGGGGGATCCAAGCTCTTTCGGGATTCCATTAGTGCAATCAAGCAACACGAACGGAGGGCAACCCCCTCGATTATCAAGAAGGCCAGACTTACTGAGGAACAATTACCTGAAGTAACATTTTCCGAAAGCGAAACCAGTCAACTTGATAAACCACACGATGACGCTCTGGTCATAACACTCGATATTGCGCATTGCGAAGTATCTCGGGTTCTCATTGATACTGGGAGTTCGGTGGATTTAATCTTCTTCGATACTCTGACAAGAATGGGGATATCGAAGTGAGATATAAAGGGGCCACCATCTCCTTTGGTTTCCTTTACTAGCGAAACTTCAATGTCGCTAGGAACGATTGTGCTCCCGGTATCCGCAGAGGGCATAGTCAAAATGATCGAGTTCACGGTGTTCGATCGTCCGGCTGCTTATAATGTCATCTTGGGAACACCCTGGATTTATGAGATAAAAGCAGTACCTTCAACGTATCATCAATGCGTGAAATTCCCTACGAAATCCGGAGTAAAGCAAATCCTGGGAAGTCAGCGAGCTGCGAGGATGTGTTACATGTCCAGCCATAAGCTTAAAATTTAATAGCAACCACAGTTCGAGGTGCCTGCAAATCCTGTCAAAAAAATAAGCAGTGACCTCGTGGAGGCAGTGGTAGTTAATGAGGAGTATCTGGATCAAACTGTGAGAATAGGAGCAGGATTAAGCGAAACACTCCGAGTCGAACTGATAACTTTTCTAAAAAGGAATCAAAAAACTTTCGCCTGGAAAATCGAGGAGATGACTGGGATCGATACAAAGGTCATTTCTCACGAGTTCAACATTGACCCGACTTTCAAACCAGTAAAACAAAAACGCAGGAAACTTAGTCTAGACCGTGCCGAGGCTGTAAATTCCGAAGTTCAGCGCCTGCTCGATGCCGGTTTGATTCGCGAGGTCAAATATCCGGACTGGTTGGCAAACCCCGTTGTAGTCAAGAAGAAAAATGGGAAATGGCGGGTTTGCGTAGATTTTACCGATCTTAATAAAGCCTGTCCCAAAGATAGTTTTCCACTTCCGCACATCGACCAACTTGTGGAGTCAACAACGGGCCACGAAATGATGTCCTTTATGGATGCTTTCTCCGGGTATAATCAGATTTTGATGAATCCGGAAGATCAGGAAAAGACAGCTTTCATCACGGACCGTGGAACTTACTGTTATATAGTCATGCCGTTCGGGTTGAAAAATGCCGGAGCCACTTATCAACGGTTGGTGAATATGATGTTCAAAGATCTCCTCGGTAAAATGGAAGTGTATATTGACGATATGTTGGTGAAGTCAATATCAAGCACTTCGCATATTGAGCATCTAGAGCAGTGCTTCGCAATTTTGAATAAGTTCGGAATGAAACTGAACCCGTCCAAGTGCACTTTTGCAGTTCCTTCGGGAGAGTTTTTGGGTTACATTTTCACAGAGCGAGGAATCGAAGCTAATCCGCGACAGTTGAACGCTTTTCTGGCGATGACTTCGCCTCGCAATATCCGGGAAGTTCAGCGACTCACGGGGCGGATAGCAGCTTTGAACCGATTCATCTCGAGGTCAACCGATAGATGCCTTCCATTTTATAATCTGCTCTGAAAAGCAAACAAGAATTTCATCTGGGATGAGAATTGCGAAAAGGCTTTCGAAGATCTAAAAGATTATTTATCCAAACCTCCTGTGTTAGCGAAACCCGAGTTCGGGGAAGAGTTTTTTTTGTACGTTTCGGTTTCTGACAGCGCAGTAAGTGGAGTGTTAGTGCGATTGGATCGGCACGACGAAAGACCGATTTTCTATGTAAGCAAGTCTTTTTTGGGAGCGGAGGCAAGATATCCGATGATGGAAAAGCTAGCTCTGGCAGTAATTACTTCAGCTCGGAAATTAAGACCGTATTTTCAATCTCATACGGTTATTATCCTTACCACGCAACCTTTAAGGGCAATTTTGCATAGTCCGAGTCAGTCAGGAAGATTGGTAAAATGGGCAATTGAGCTAAGCGAGTATGATATTCAGTTCCGAACAAGGACAAGCTTGAAATCTCAAGTCCTCGCAGATTTTCTGGTCGAACTACCTCTGGTTTCCGTGGAAGTCAAAGAAAACGAAGGACCTTGGATACTTCATGTGGACGGCGCCTCCTTAAAACAGGGTTCCGGGATCGGTATCCGATTACAATCCCCATATGGTGAAGTAATCGGACAGTCATTTCGTCTCGCATTTAATGCGTCGAATAACGAGGCGGAGTACGAGTCTCTCCTTGCAGGACTTCGTTTAGCGGTCGGGATAGGTGTCACAAAGTTACGGGCATTTTGCGACTCGCAGCTCGTTGCTAATCAGTTTTCCGGTGATTATGAAGCAAAAGATGGCAGAATGGAAGCTTACCTCGCTCAGCTTCAGGAATTGAGTAAAAAGTTTTTTAGTTTCGAACTCACTAGAATTCCGCGAAGTGAGAACTCAGCGGCGGATGCCTTAGCGGCATTGGCGTCGAGCTCCGAAGTAACAGTGAGCCGAATGATCCCTGTCGAAGTAATTGAACATCCCAGTATAGCCACCGGAGAGCTGAATTTCGTGACTACACGGTCTATGCAAAGAAGGATGAGTGTGGAACAAGAACCACAAAGGATCGAGGAAACTGAGGAGAACTCCGAAGAGAATCACTTTTTGAACACCGCTAAATCCGGAAAGACTACCACCAGCGGTACCGCTTTTTTATTGAGGGGCAGACGGGCGGATACCCATCAGAGAATACATCCTTAATGGTACTCTCCCTGCGGATAAGTGGGAGGCACGGAGATTGAAAGCTAAAAGTGCTCGTTTCTGCATTTCGAGCGACATTCTCTACAGAAGAAGCATCTCGGGTCCTGACATGATCTGTATTTTCGGACAGCAGGTCCGTACTGTGATAAAAGAGATTCATGACGGAGTATGCGGAAATCACTCCGGAGGTCGCTCTTTGGCTTATAAGTAAGAAAGTACGGATATTTCTGGCCCACGTTAATCGCGGATTGCGAGGAGTATGCGCGGAAGTGCGAACAATGCCAGAAGCATGCACCTTCAATTCACCAACCCACCGAGCCATTATCATCAGTCTCTTCGCCTTATCCATTTATGAAATGGTCTATGGATATTATTGGGCCTCTTCATGTTTCTACTCGTGGAGTGAAATTTGTCTTGGTTCTTACCGATTATTTCTCGAAGTGGATAGAAGCGGCAGCCTACGTAAACATAACTCAGGTTCAAGTTCGCAAGTTCATTTGGCAGGACATCATCTGTAGGCACGGTTGCCATATGAGATCGTTACTGATAACGGACCTCAATTCATTTCACGGCAATTCGAATCTTTCTGCGAAGAATGGCAAATCAGACTCAGTCGATCAACGCCTCGTTATCCGCAGGGTAATGGTCAAGCTGAAGCAATGAACAAAACTGTTTTGTCTACTTTGAAGAAAAAACTCAAGTCGCACAAAGGAACTTGGTTTGATGAACTACAGAGTGTTCTCTGGGCAATTCGCACTACCCCTAGGCGTGCAACTGGTGAAACACCATTTTCATTAGTTTATGGAATGGAGGCTGTAATCCCTGCTGAGATATTTGTGCCAAGTCCGAGACGGATGAATAACCCGGAGAACGAGGCAGCGAATAGCGAACTAATGGTTGACGTTATTGATACCATTGAGGAGCGGCGTGATCGAGCTTTGATTCGAATGCAAAATTACAAGAATGCCGCAGCTCGATACTATAACTCGACTGTCCGAAGTCGACACTTCGACGTTGGAACCTTGGTACTGTGCAAAGTTCAGCAAAATACTATCGAGGATGGAGCTGGAAAGCTAGGTATTAATTGGGAAGGTCCTTATCGAATTACTCAGGTAGTTCGCAACGGAGTTTATCGTCTCGAGAACATGGAAGGAAAAGCAGTTCGGAGAGCTTGGAATTCCATTCATCTGAAGAGATACTTTGTTTAAGTATTTTATTATTTTCATTATTGTAAATCGAACTACGATAGACTTGATCCCCACCTTTGGGTACGTAGGCAGCTCGAACTTCGAGTGCAGTCTCTAAATCAAATAAAATGTTTATATTCTTCTAAACATCTTTCAAAGAAGCCGAGAATTATCTCGCAATCCGTAAAACCGAGAAGAACCTCGTAACTACTTTTCTCGAAAACCGAGCTCAAACCTCTGGTAATTCTTGAAAGATAAGCCTAAGTTTTACTTAGCAAAAAAGGGTCTGGATCAACACAGACTAGGGATTTCTGCGGACTCCGAGTCCCGATCCTCATTTTTTCTATTAAGAACACCCACTTAACTCTCGTTCTTAGTATTTCCCTTATCCATTGAAGAATGAATTCTGAGTTCATGTAAACTGCGTATCTCGTTGAATCTTAAGTATTTCTTAATTTTTCATACGAGGTATTCAAATTTTTCGAATACTCCGGATTTATAATTCAAAAGGACTTATATAAAAATGGAGGGGAAATATTCAAGTCTTTAAAAAATAAAACAACAAAGGGGGGCACACTAGCCATCACAACCCCAGAACCAGATCATTGACCCTTGACGCCGGGATCCTGCTGCATCTCCTCGGGCAGAACGGCAGCTTCGAAGTCCTGGCCAGCCATGAAATCCTTGTTAGTTCCGAACTCATCAATGGCAGCATCATCTTCGGGAAGAGATGTCTCTTGCACGGGCTCTGGGGGAGTCGCTACAAAGAGATGAGCAAACTCATTTGGTTGAGGTCTGAGAGCGCTTGCCTCGCGAGCTTTCTTCTCAGCCTCTTCCTCGTCTTTCTTTACCGACTCTAGTTCGGCTTTTAAATCCGGAACCTCTCCCTTCAGAATCTCCTCAAGAAGTTCTCGGTTCGCCCGAGTCTCGGCAAGACGCGTCCCAATCATCTCGTTATCACTGATGGCCTTGTAGTAGGTCTCATGCTTCGAGGCGAGTCCGCTATAGAGTTCACGGAGCCTCAGCCTTTCATCTTTTTTCGCTGTTGCGAGCTCCTCGTCCTGTTTCTCAGCAGCGACCTTGCACCATTCCTCGCTTCGCTTAACTTCAGCTTCCAGCGAGGTAATCTTGTCACATGCCTCGAGGTACAAGTTGTAACACCCGCGTCCCGCGATCCTAAAGGGGGCCGGTTTGTTTTAGGGAAAACTAGATCATGGTCGAGAAAGACTAATGAATAAGTTAACCTAAGAAACGAAAGAAACGTTTAAGTCATGAAAAGTGTAGATGACTTAGACGGTTTCGGGATAATCTAGTGATCATGGAGAAATGATCATGGAAAGATTGGGAATGGCGTAGTCAAGGCCGAGAAAACGGACCGAAAGACTTAGCCGGAAAGAACGTGAAAGAACGTTCGAGCTAAACCAGCTAGGTGAGCTGGACAAGCTGAATGAACAAGCTAGCTCAGCTAGGTGAGCTAAAGCAGCTGGATGACTAGCTAGCTCAGCTAGGTGAGCTGACCGGCAGCTCAACCGAGCTCGGTGAACTGATCGAGTACTGACCCAGCTGGGTGGTCTGGTCAGCTGACACTCGAGCTGGTGGACTGTCGTAGCTCGGGGATGAAAAGGTGTCTCGGCCAAAAGGTGTAAGGTCGAGCGGTTACCGACGAATGGTTACCGTTGGCGAAAGGGTGGATAAGGCCGAACGGTTACGATCGGAGAGACGCAACCCTTCGGAAAAGTGTATGGAACGGATGCGATGCTTCGGAAAAGCAACCATTCGCCCCCTATATAAGGGAGGACGTCCACACCATCTCACAATGCCCACAACAATCCAAAACAAGTCCCAAAACACTCTACGAAGTGTTGGTCGGAAAGGGGGTGCGGCTCGGCGAGTATCTCCGGAATCGGAATGGATTCTCGGAGTCTCGACCGAACTGATGCGCATGCTACCTCCCGATCCAATGGTTCGATGGAATGTATAGGACGGATGGATGGGTCGGATTGGATGGGTCCAACCGATGGATGGGTCGGATTGGATGGGTCCAACCGATCGTCTTGGAGACGGATCGGATTGGATAGACCGATCGTCGGACGGATCGGATCAGACAGACCGATCGTCAGACGGATCGGACAGACCGATCGTCGGACGGATGGATCGGATCGGAGAAGAAGACGGATCCGGATAGACCGTTGCACAGACAGATCGACCGACCGGGATAGGCGGATCGATCGTCGTGTCAACAAGTCGGATCGACGTATGACCGGATAGGTGTACGATCGGATAAACGGATCAAGGTTTAGATCGGCGGATTGATCGATCGTACCGATCGGCGGGATGACCGATGGTACGTATCGGAGATCTTGTCGAGGGAACATGGCGGATTACATGATCGAGGATTCGATGGGAACCGCCGAAGGGTTCGACGACTTGATTGATGGTTCGGGTCGATAGCTCGATTATGGGGTCGATGGATCGTCCGTTCTATGAATCATATCGTCGAGGGAAGGACACGAAAAGGAAATGGATCGGCAAATCTAAGATTGTCAATATGGAAGTATTGACGAATCCAAAGATAGTCCGATAGATGATATGGTTAACTAGAAGTTAATCGGGAAGGCGTATAAGGGAAAGGTGTTCGAAGAAGCACGAGGATAAGTGCAACCGAACACACCCAAGGGTCGCCCATGGATGCAATCTCACCGGTAAAGGGAGTAAGCACCGAGAATGGGTAAGTGACGTGGTTCACCATGTAAGGATCTAATATCGCGGCCGCCTTCATGTATCAATCGCCATGGCCAATGGTGAAACCGATTGGGAATCGGTAACACCAATGGTGACTCGACGGATAACCAACGGGAAAGTCCACGGTGAGAACCGGTGGACAAAATGGATGTTGGACCCACGAGCAAACCAAAGGCCGACGGACGAATGATTTCATGGGCTAGCCTACGATAATCCGATGGGTGAATCCACGGACCCTTGGGTGTGATAATGATATTGTTTGGATCGCATGGATGGATCGGTAAGCCGAAGGCGTTATGACCACCATGGACCGGACGGGTAAACGGTTAGTAGACCGTGGGCGGTCGTAGTGATAAACGACCGGATCGGAAACATGGATGGTTCGATAAGCCGAGGGCTTGATCGTCCACCATGAAACCGAAGGGGCGTACGTTTGGAGGACAGATGGACCAATGAGCCAAGAGCTTGATTCGGCCACCGTGAACCAAGAAAAACGTATGATCCCCAATCTCTATCGTAGGGACTTAGACCAGTGGGGTTGGTTAGATGAATGGCTAAGTAACGATATAGATTGGTCCATCAATACACGATTGGTTAAGAATCGTTGTACGAATGGAATAAGGCGACGAGAGGGCTAAGAGAAGGATCAATAGACGGATCGAAGAGGAATCAAATCCGTATGTAGGCCAAGGTATGTAAACGCATCTAACTTATTAGTTAAGATAGACGTTTGGGAATTGGCCGTTGGATTAGGGATACAAAGAATATGCAATCGTTAGACTTAGAATGGTTAGCGAACAAATTGCATGACTTGGCCGAGTTAATGATCGATCTAAAGTTTAAGGGACAGAGACGATCAAACCGGTACAAGGGATGGTTGGAATTAGACCAAGGATATAAAGACTTCCGCTGTGTTAAGAGATAAGGATTATAGAATTAAGCCTCGTAAAGGCAATTCCATGTTAAATCGTGAAAAATATGGAGGTTCGGCTGGAATGTGGCGCGAACGTGAACCTTGGGTCGCCGGACGCCGAGACGTCCGGGACGGGGTCTCACAAGTTGGTATCAGAGCATGCTTGATCCTAGGATGGATAAGTGCTCGGGAAAATGTCATGGTAAATGACTACTAAAGGTGTAACTTAAATGATTGAGTCCTCGGGAAACCGAATTATGAACTTGAACAGTAGTGTTGGTGAGCCGGAAGGGAATTGAGGCAAGAACGCGATTACATGCTTGGAAACCAAAAGAGTTTGCCAAGATGAATTGTTTAAGCCAAGATGATTACCCAAGGGGCAAGAACTACACGTGTATCAAGTGGATAATTATTCGGAGAGAAGGGCTGATCATAAAGTTGAAAAAGTTAGGCTAAGTGTTTGGCGGATAAGGAAGTTGAGGTGAATGAGATTGATGTGCTTGAGGAAAGGTTACCCAAAGCATGATCGGGCACCAAGATACGAGCCTTGTAGTTAAATGACTTAATATAACGAGGAAAAAAATTATTGATCTATTCGGAGAATGACCAAGATCAAGGGAAGTTAGATCTCGTCGGAATTTGACAAAGATCGGGAAAGACTTGATCTATTCGTTGAAAAGATTCACGGGGTATTGACCGAGTCCGGTAAAGGACCAAGGTCGAGGAATTTTGGTGAGGGGGAGAAATCGAAATCTTCGTGCTGCACTGCCGTCTGGCATCGATCTTGCGCATTGC